CGTCCGGTGGACTCCACCTCCCAGACCCCCCCAGCCAGCTATGCTGGCTGGGGGATTCTGGGAGTTGAAGTCCACAGGACTTAAAGTCGCCAAGGTTGAGAAACACTGCATTAAGCAAATCGTTATAAGTTGAGGATTACTTGTAGGTGAATTATACATAGCAAGAGGCATCTGGGGTTATTTATTTTATTTTTGGTGGGTAACTAGTGGCACAACCGAAGAGCACATCGCTGTATTTTGCCCCGAGATTGTGAGAAAGAGCAAAGGGAGAGTAGCTGGCCCCAATTCCAGTTCTGCTGAGCAATACTTTGAAAACAGGAGAAACCGTACGTGCCAATTTGCCAGTTGACGTTTCTTAGAGCTCCGTATATTTCTTAACAGTGTTGGCATCTTCCGCCTTGCCAGGCCCTTCGTGAACAGCTGGACTTTATGCGTGCATTGATGGTGGAGGCACCATTAAGGGCTTTCCAGTGGAAATTGAAACCCCATGTCTAGGAAATCAGTGTGCAAGTTGTCCTCTACTTACAACCATTAATTAATGACCGTTCAGAGTTAAAACGGCCCTGAAAAAAAAAAGTAACTTATGAGTGCTTTTCACACAACCATTGCAGCGTCCCCAGGGTCACGCCTGGCACACTGATTCATATTTACAACAGTTGCAATGTCCCAGGGTTAGGTGAGGATCCCCTTTTGTGACTTTCTGCGGAACAAAATGAAAGGGAAAAGCGGATCCACTTAATAACCATGCTACTGTCTTAACAGCGGTAGTGATTCGCTTAATAACTTTCTCACTTAGCAGAGATTTGGGGGCTCCACTGTGGTGGCGAGCCGAGAACCACTTGTACTGTACGGTTCCCGCTTTCTAAATGTATAGTGTCCACATTTTGCAACCAGCAGCACCGTCTTTAACCGAAGCGGCGGCTGAGTCCAACCGAAACTCTGCTAGCGATATCGCAACACTTCAGCTTTCCTTGACTTTAAAAACGTAAAGGTTCTCCTTGCACATATGTGCTGGTCATTCCCGACTCTAGGGGGCGGTGCTCATCTCCGTTTCAAAGCCGAAGATCCAGCGCTGTCCAAAGACGTCTCCGTGGTCACGTGGCCGGCATGACTCAACGCCAAAGGCGCACGGAACGTTGTTCGCTTCCCACCAAAGGTGGTTCCTATTTTTCTACTTGCCTTTTTTACCTGCTTTTGAACTGCTAGGTTGGCAGAAGCTGGGACAAGTCACGGGAGCTCACTCCGTTACGTGGCGCTTGGGATTCAAACTGCTGAACTGCCGACCTTTCTGATTGACAGGTTCGGCGTCTTAGCCCCTGAGCCACTGCGTCCCTTTTCTCCTTGACTTTACAAGCCTGCGAAAGTTTTAAAGGCGGGGAGTGGTCATCCTCCAGTTACTTTCTCAACACTCCAAACAATCGCTAAATGAGGCAGTCGCTAAGAGAGGACTCACTGTATTGTTATAGGTCTGTTTCCGACGTCCGAATACTCTTGGNTTCAGCCCGCTCCAGGCGGAATGGTTGAACACCACCGATCAGCTGTTGCAAGCGGCAGGGATCGCCGCTGCCGAACGGCACCACCTATCATCACTGTCACTGTGGATCAGTGCCACTGCGTGGCAGTGGTGGTGATAGGCAGCGGTAGCCGATCCCCCCGCCTGGAACAGCTGATCGGCGGTACTCCAGGAGGCTGATCCAACCGCCAATCAGCTGCTCATGCTGAATCAGGCTGTGATAACGTGCTGAAGCTAACCAGGCTGTTTGCTGTTTTCTGCAAGGATGCTAGGCAGATGAATACTGATGGATGCTGGGAGGCAGAAGCAGATTTCTTTTCCTTGCTTTTCTCCTCTAAAGTTAATGTGCGCCTTATGGTCCAGAGTGTCTTATGGAGCAAACATATGGTGCTTTGGTTTATCCATTGCAACAGGGATGTCCACCCGTAGCAACTTTAAGAAATGTGGCACTTCAACTACCAGGATTCTCCAGGCTTGGCTGGGGAATTCTGGGAGTTGAAGTCCACAGGTCTTAAAGTGATCAAGGTTGGACTCCACTGCATTACAGGTTCTCTTGCTTGCCCAGAACACTTCAGTCGGTTGAATTCATTTTGCCACTCAAGGCCTTTATGCCGAATTTGGCTCCGGCATTAAAGGGATTGGTGGGGGCGGCCTTGTTTGGCAAAAATATTTGGATTTTCTTAACAACAGCGTAGCTCTGCAAAACATCCTGGAATGTCTTACAGGGCTTTATTTCATGTTGATCAAGAAGTGGGAGAGAAACACGGGATAGAAAATAGAACAATTGTTCTCTGGTATTATAAATAATTCTGCTACAATTACTTCGTATTCCACACGGGCTGTGCGTCTGGTTGTAATTAGCAGTGATGAGTTTTTATCGATAGAAAAAAAAAAACCTTGTACAGATAATCCCCGATATAAGAACACAATTGGGGCCGGAATTGTGTTCACTAAGCAAGGCGGTCATTAAGTGAGTAAATCACGTAAGTGGACCTGATGTTGTCACCATTTTTACCACGATTGTTAAACGAATCGGGTGATTGTTAGGTGAATCATTTGTTGGAAACCATTTGGGGAAAGTCACAAATTGCAATTGTGTGACGTCAGGATGCTGGAGCCGGTCATAAATGTGAGCCGGCCATAAATGCGAGCCGGTTTCTAAGCTGCGGAATTGCAAACATGTGACTGCGGAGCGATACTTTGATTGTAACTTCAAGGACAGGCGAAAATCAGTTTTTCCAAAAAACGGTGTAATCGTTTAGCCAGTGTTTCTCAACCTTGGCGACTTTAAGTCCTGTGGACTTAAACTCCCAGAATCCCCCAGCCAGCATAGCTGGCTGGGGGATTCTGGGAGT